TCATTGCTACTCACGTCACGACAGACACATAGCTACAGGTGCCCGCGGTGAGGACAAGGACCAGAAGACTGCAAATTCTTCAGGTGGGCCGATAGTGTAACTCTTTCTACGATATCCCAATTGGATATAGTTGCTAGGAGTTCGATAGTACCACAACGGGAGATCACCGCATGTGGTTCGAGTTCTTCCGTTTCTACGATATCCCCGTCGGACAAGTTTGCTCGGGGTTTTGAGGTATCAAAACCGAGCAACATTCGTCGTGATGTGCTTCTACATTTTAAAGTCAATATTGTCATATTTTTCCTTGTAATTTTAACATGTTATTTTTTTTTTTTGGGTCATATTATAATCCATATTAGTGTGATATTATAATCCATATTAGTCCATATTAGTGTGTAAATATATATTTCACTTTCGTAGATGTCCCTGTGCTTATTATGATGTAATCGGAACTTTTTGAGTTATATAAATATTATTCAACTTTTTTGCATTTTCATGTTGTGACATTTGAGAAAATAATAAATTATGCTGCACAAATTATTAATTTAACTAAAAAAATTTACAAATAAGTTGTTTGCATAAAACACAAACCAAACAACTTATTCAAAACAGGGACACAATGGTCATTTTTCCAGAATAAGTTATTTTCCATACGCACAAACCAAACAGCCAGACAACTTATCCAGATTAGCTGTTCATCAGCAGATTATCAGAATCAGCTGCTTATCAACAGAAGCTGGATAGACTGCAGTTGCCCCAAACAGACCCAAAATCAAGGTTCATGACTACTTTTACAGGTGATTTGTGAAAGGTGACTAGAGGCCATTGATTATGATTTGGGGCACATTAGAGATACTCTTTACCTGATCAAAACTATGGTTGATGCAGGTTTCTGACATCGCCGTAGCCTTATCTATATAAGCGAGAAATGAATGAAGTCTCAACTTTCTAAAAATATCCTACAGGGTTTGAAATCAATAGATTTTGATTTCTGTGAATATTGTATGTATGACAAGAAAAAAAAATTTTTTCTCTAAAGGTGGGTCAATGGTAAAGTCAAAAATTGGAATTAGTGTATATTGATGTATGAAATTCTACTCTATTTCAGTCTATTTGGGGTTCTCACTATTCTGTCAAGTTTATAAATGATCACACGAGAAATATATGAGTTTACTTAAGGACAAAATCTAAAGTATTTGAAGTGTTCAAGAAGTAGAAGACTGTTGGAAAATGAAATAGACTTGAAGCTGAAGTATCTCAGATCAGATAATGGGAGCGAGTATTGTGATAAAAAATTCAGAAATTTTAGTGCTGCAAGAGGGTGGAAAATTAGACAGAATTGAAACTGAAATGTCTCAGATCAGATAATGAGAGCGAATATCGTGAGAAAAAATTCTGGAATTTTAGTGCTACAAGAGGGGATCAGACATGAATTCATTGTTTTAAGGACATCACAACATGGGTGATTGAGCGCATGAATAAAAAAATCACAGATGCTAGAAGCATGAGGCTGCATGTAGGCTTGCCAAAATAGTTTTGGGCTGAAGCAATGAACACTGTTATTTATCTGATTGATTGTGGTCCATTAGTATCTTTCAAGGAAGACTTATCTGAAGAAACCTAGAGTGACAAGAAGGTAAATCTATCTCATCTAAAAACTATTTTGCTGTTCTACATATGTTCGTTGATACGGGGTCTCAGAGTGAGCTTGACTCAAAATCTGTCAAGTGCATCTTCATTAATTATGATTCAGATGTATTTCAGTACATGGTTTAGGACTATTAGAATAAAAAAAATTATTAAGAGCAGAGATATTTTATTCAATAAAATGAAGATGTATAAGTACAAGATTGGAACTTAGGATTGCTCGTCAAGTATATCTTCATTAGTTAAGAGTAAGCTTGACTCAAAATCAATCAAGTGCATCTTCATTAGTTATGATTCAGATGAATTTCAGTACATGTTTTAGGACTATTAGAATAAAAAATTTATTAGGAGCAGAGATCTTTTTTTCAATAAAATGAAGATGAATAAGGACAGGATTGGAACTCAGGATTGCTCGTCAGTTGCATCTGAAAAGTCCAAATATGTTTTAGATAAAAGACATTGGTGATCAGGAGAGTAAAGAAAGAATAATTACTCAATTTGATGAAGCACAAGAAATTCCTCAATTACTTGCTACTAAAGTTAGGAGATCCAACAAAGTGATACATCGATACACAAATATTCTCCTTCTTTGCACTTTTTTTGCTAGCTGATACTGGTAAATCAGAGTGCTTTGAGGATGTCACTTTAGTTGAAGATTCATGGGAGTGGGAGCTTGCCATGGATGATGAACTACAATCATTGGAGTCAAATCAGACCTGAAATTTGATGATATTATTAGATGACAAAAGACTACTACACAACAATTAGATTTAGAAGTTAAAAGAGAAGTCAGATAACAACAGATGCTACAAGCTTGTTGTGAAGGAGTTTTAGCAAAATAAAAGAGTAAACTACACAAGCAATTTTTTCTCTGGTGGTAAAGGTGACGACAATTAAGAGTTATGTTTAGTTTAGTAGCAGAGGAATACCTACATCTAGAGCAAATAGTTGTAAAAGACGACTTTCTTGCATGAAGCTCCAGGGGAGGAATTATACATGATGCAATTGCAGGGTTATGAGGTTTTATGGAAATAAACTTTGGTCTGTAGGTTGAAGAGAGCCTCTATGACTTGAAGCAAGCTCTGAACAGTGGTAAAGGAGATTTGATAGGTTCATGATAGATAGTTACATGAAGTGCTTGGTAGGTTGTTGTTGTTTCATCAAAATCTTCAACAATTGTTGTATCTTATTTCTTTTGTGTGTGTGGATGACATGTTAATTGTATGTGCATATATGAAAAAAATCAGGAATTTGAAGGAGCAAGTATATGAGTGAGGTAAAGATCCTCCTGATGAGAATCAACAAGAACATCAGTGCATGCATGCCGAAGTTGTCTGAGGCAGTATATTGCAAAGATCTTATAGAGGCTTAACATGAGTGAAGTAAAGCTAGATTGCACCCCACTTCAAGCTATCTAAGGAAATATTGCCTAAGTTTGAAGCAGAGCAACCACAGATATGGAAAATTCCATTTGCTTTAGCAGTTGAGAGTCTCATATATGCTATGATTTGTACAAAACTAGATAGTGCATTTGCAGTGAGTGACCAACAAGTACATGAGTGATCCGACAGTTAACATTGATAGGAAGTGAAGTGGATTGTCATGTATTTGAGAGGAACAATCAACATAAAAATTTTCTCTAGAAGTGCAGGGATCAATTTACAGAAATTTGTAGATTCAGATCGGGCAAGAAATTTAGATATTAAAAAAAGTATAACAGGGTATATCTTCACTTTGGGGAACACAACAGTAAGTTCGGTTTCCATAGTAAAGAAGATTGTTGTAATTTCAAATATGGAGACCGGACATATTGCTATCACTTAGACTAATAAGAAGATGATTTGACTACAAGACTTTATGACATAATTAGACAAGGAGCATGAGATTGGAAAGCTTCATATTGATAGTATTAATTCAATTCTTCTTGTTAAGAACATTGGTTTTTATATCAGGATAAAAACATTTAGTGAATGTATCACTTTTTATGCTCTCTCTAAGAAGATAGACAGTTGTTCTTGGGAGAAGAAACACACAACTCATAATCCTTTAGGTAAGTTGATAATTGTGATGACTATCAAGAAACTGGAGCTGTGCTTGGCTTCAGTTGAAGTCCAGGAAGGTTGGGAATGGGGTAAGCTACACTACAGTGCAAAATTAAGAAGATGATACAGATGAAGTTGCAGATTTGGTGGATATGCATCAAGTGCTATCAATTTCTAAGTGGGAGATTGTTGAGGAGCCTGCAACCCTCGAAGGAGCAGATGGAGTTCCTCATGCCATGCCAAAACTGGTGTTGGACATGACTACGCGCAACCAGGAGTATCTACGTCAGTTGGATCATTCCTTCATGTTCTTTTTATTGAACACATTGAATAAATATGCCTCTTCACGACGTGATACACCGCAAGCAGTTAGCTATATATTTTAGTTTAAATCCCTCAATTCCGAGCAACGAATGTAACTCTCGCATGCTGCGTTTCTCTATAGGGACCTCTTCTTGAAGGTGAATTGTCGGGAGCGTGATTTCGAAGCAAGAGCTTTCTCTTGTGAGATTGAGAGGAAGGTTTGGAGTGAAATTTTATAAGTTTTTGTGCTTGCAACGAGTTGATCTGATTGTATATCCATGTATAATTCTAGTTCTTCATATTGAAAATTTATGGTGTTGTGCTCTGTGGTTTTTTCCTATTCTCGAGTTTTTCAACGTAAATTTTGGTGTGTTTTTCTGGGATTATTTTTTTGTGCTTCTGTTTGAAATTTTGTTCCCGATTTCCCGAATTAGTGTAATTTTATTTTCGCGTATGATTTGGATTTCTAATTGATGGAAGCCTAAGGTGTTATTTCCATCCCAGCAATGCTTACTATAGGTTGTTGATTCTTATACGCATTGTTAGGAGTATAAGCAGAAATCTGATAATCAATCCATTGACATTGAATAACTACAAATTATTCAATGATAAACCCTATAAATTGCTTCCTTCTTGGGTTTTTTTTACCTTATCTTTTTAAATGCCAACAGGGCATAATGCATGACGTCTAAATAAGTGTAAAGTTTGGGTTTTTTCTCAAAGAAAATTTGCTTGAAGGGCTGCTTTCAACATTTTATATGATTTGAATCTTTGAAGCATTCCCTTGAAGCTTTTATTTGGTTATATTTTATGTAGATCTATAAGTAGTGCATTTATTGAATGTTATGGCATTATCTCTTCTGCCATTTGTTGCTCTGAATCTTTGTATAAATCGTAATATATTCAAGTGAAATCAAATTTGTTTTCTTAAATTAAATTGTATTTTCACTACATTTTTCTTTATGAAGTTTGAATCTTTTCTAGATATTGATTGTAGTTTGAACTCAGATTGCAGACAGGCACAACTTCATGATATTTGAGGATCGAAAATTTGCTGACATTGGAAATACTGTTACCATGCAATATGAAGGGTGGGATGCAATTATGCATGTATTGAAAATTTACATCCTTTACTCTTATTTTCTTGTTTATATTGACAAAATTACGACGGTCCATTCTCTCTCTTCTGTTACAGGGGATTGTTTCGCATTTTGGATTGGGCAGACATCATAAATGCACATATAATATCGGGGCCGGGAATAGTGGATGGTCTAAAGTTGAAGGTTTGTGGCAATGCTTCATAAACAAAAAACCATCTATCTTATGACTTATGAGCTTTTGCATCCATACGATACAAGTCTTATGTGTTTTCATTTCTAACACCTAAACATTCATTTTTATTTGCATACTAAAAAATTTTTGGAAGGAATCAAGTTTTTTTCCATTCAAGAGTTGGGCTTCTATAGAGCCATACAAAACCTTTAGCGATTATTTATAATTAGACCCCCTCCAAATAAGATAAAAATCTCAACACTTCCCCTCAAGATGGACAAAAGATATCTACTAAGTCTATCTTGTTACATAATCCAAAAAAGCTAATGAACTAAGTCCTTTAGTGAGGTAGTCAACCACTTGCTCTCTAGTGGCTAGTGGCTACATGACTTAGCTCTAGTAGCCCATCATTCAACTTTTCTTGGATGAAGAATCTATCAATCTCTACATGTTTGGTTCTATCGTGATGCACCAAGTTGTTGGCAATGTTAATTGCTGACTTTTTGTCACACCACAACTTCATTTGAGTTCCTTGGTCCATCTTGAGCTCGACCAACAAGACTCTTATCCACATCATCTCGATACCTCTTAAGGCCATGGCTCTGTACTATGCCTCTACTGTTGAGCTTGCTAGTACATATTGTTTCTTGCTCTTCCAACTGACCTAATTGCCCCCTACAAACATACTGTATCATGAGGTTGATCTTCTGTCATCTGTGCAGCTTTCTTAGTCAACATCACAATAGCTTTCAATGTCTACATTCCCATTATTCCTGAAGATCAACCCCTTCATTTGTGCGCTCTTCAGATACCTCAGAATTTGATACATTGCGTTTAGACGACCCTTCATATGATCATGCATATAACAACTCACCACGTTAGCTGCAAATGAGATGTCTGGACTTGTACGACTTAGATAGATGAGACGACCTACCAACCTCTGGTACCTGTCTCGATTAACCGGCTCTTCTGCTTCTGCACTCAAGTTTTCTTTCCAATCAATTGGTGAAGCAATAGGCTTGCACCCCAACATGTCTGTCTCTGTGAGCAAATCAAGCACATACTTCCTCTGAAAGAGGACAATTCCCTGTGGTCCACGACCCACATCAATTCCAAGGAAGTATCAAAGTTGTCCCAGGTCCTTCATCTCAAACTCTTTGCCTAATCTTGTCTTTAGCTGCACAATCTCTCCCACATCATCACCAGTGCCTATCATATCATCCACATACACGATAAGTATAGTGGTGTGACCACCATTTCGTCAAATAAACACTGTGTTGTCGGTATTGATCTGTTAATAGCTCATGCGTACCATTGCTCTCCTGAACTTGTCAAACCAAGTTCTAGAAGACTGTTTCAAACAGTATAATGATTTCCTTAGTCTACAAACCTTGCCCAATGTTCGGTTTGTATCAAAGCCTGGGAGTATCTCCATATACACCTTCTCCTGCCAATCCCTATGAAGAAACACATTCTTCACATTCAGTTGGTGTAACATCCATTTGTCATTCACAACCAGAGAGATGAGAGACCGACTGTGCTTATCTTCGCCACTGGTACAAATGTCTCATTATAGTCGATGTCATATGTCTGACTATGCCCTTTAGCCACCAACTGTGCTTGTAGCGATCAATTTTTTTTCCTTCTGAGGTCTGCTTCATTGTGAAGTCCCATTTGCACTCGACTGTCTTTTTCTCTGTTGACAACAATGCAACTTTTCTCGAGAGAACTAAGTTCTTCCAACATGGCAGCCTTCCACTTTGTATCCTCCTTAGCAACCTGTCAACACTTTGGTATATAGATAGAGTCCAATGATGCTATGAACACTTTATGCGAAAGTGAGATGTTATAATAAGAAATAAAATTCACAATATCAAGTTCCCACCCAAAACGATCAGGAGGATGTCTCATATTGCTACGAGAGGTCCTCCTTAAAGTTGGGGTGTTAGGAGTGGACAAAGAAGGAATAATATCACCTGAAAGTTTTAAATCAAAGGTGCATGGTATAGGTGTCTCGAGAGTTGGGGAAGATCGGGACAAGAGACTTGTTGGCAGATCAGACTCTGTTCCCTCAATTTGCTTCTTTCACCGTGTATACACTCTTAGCTCACATTCAATCTAAATCCCACCACCCCGGGTTCAATCTCCTCGATTTTCATCTACTCAGTTGATTCCTTCCACATCATAAGACATAACGTTGATCCCACTTGCACCACTCCATCACCACTACCACTTACTCTCTCTTTCCTCATATCTTCAGTTTTTTTTAACTCATCGAAGTGTGAATTCACTTCAAGAGTGTAGTATGGCTCAAATTCTCTAAATGACACATCCAGACTCACAATGAGTCTTTTCTCTTGGGCTCCAATATATAGTAGAATAATAACCCAATAACATACATTTCACAGCTCTGGGATTCAGTTTTCCTACAGATGGTCTGTTGTCTTTCACAAAGCATACACATCCAAATATCTTTAGTGGAAGGATCCCATTTTTGTCTCCTTTTAATATCTGACAAGGAGGCTTCCACTCCAGCACTCTTGAAAGCATCCTGTTAATTAATTGAGCGTTGTCAACACTATTTGCCCTCATAAGTGTTGTGGGAGCATCCTGTTAATTAATTGAGCGTTGTCAACACTGTTTGCCCTCATAAGTGTTGTGGGACATTCATTATCGTCATCATACTTTGGGCTATCTCTAGAAGATGTCGATTCTTCCTCTCTGCTACTTCATTCTGTGCCGGTATGTATGGGCATGTGGTTTGATGTTGTATCCTTTAGGCAGACAGGTACTCAAACACATTATTATTATACTTTGTCCCATTATCATATCTCAATACCTTCACTACCGTACCATATTGAGTCTGAATCATCTTGTAAAAATTTTTAAAACAAACAAACACATCACTTTTGTTCCTCATTAGATATAGCAAAGTAACACGAGAACAACATTCAATGAACGTCAGAAAATATCTATAACCATTCATCAAAGTCATATAACAAGGTTCCCATGCATCCAATGTATCAAATCAAACACGACAGAGCTCCTATTCTCAAAACTAACCTAAGAGCTTCTAGTGAGCTTACTAAACTCACAAGCATCATGCATAAGTTTCTCCTTGTTTGCCTTTGCATACAAGGATGTGTACAATTGACTCAATAGACTAAATGAAAAGTGTCACATCCATCTGTGATGTAGCAAAAATACATCATCCACACACCTGTCAGATCCTCATGCTCCAACAATCTCAACCTTGAATGCCAAGACTGAGTCCATCCTCCTATCAAACTACCAGAGTTCACTATGCCACGTGTCAGTCCCAAGTCTTCGATCAGTCTCATTCTCTTGAAAGATTACCTTAGGAATATCAAATGAAACAACACAGTTTAGTTGAAGAATAATGACACTAATGGATAAAAAATTCACTGTAAAGGAGGGAGCATGCAAAACATTGGTAATGTCATAAAATTGGTACCTCTCACTGTACCCTTACCAACCACAGGTTGTCATGTACTATCAGCCTTCTGAATGCTCTATGGAAATGCTAGATGAGTATAGGAAGAGAACTTCCTAGCGTTACTTGTCACATTTCGAGATGCACCAGAATTTACTGCCCATTATGGTGTTCTTGTGGTTGATATAGAGACAAGAACATGCTTATCACGAGTACCTTTGGCTAAGTGAGCATAAGTAGCATTGTTGCCCTTGAATGATGATAAGGTAGACGCCTCCTTAAGTCATATCACCTGCTGCTCTCTGTTTTCTCTTCAGCATCTCAAGGAGCTCATGTTCCTTATCAGTAAAGACCACCTGTCTCTCTCTCGTCCTCTGCCACCATCAAATTTGTCTAGTAGTCCTCTCTTCGACCTCTTTAGTTTCCATGGCTATGACCACGACCTCTAGATTGTCCACATCTACCTGTCTCTCTCTCTCTCATTGGGTGGCTTTGGATAGGCCTTGCTCAAGCATCGTACTTCTCCACAGTTGTAGCACCTGCGAATCTCCCCCTGAGCACCTATCATACGTGAGCTCGAGCCAACAAAAGCTGCCCGCATTCCTGGAAGTCCACTTGACTAAGCTAGAACACTTGCTCAGGTAGTGGCTCCCGTCGAGATGCTAGCTTTCTGTACGAGTCCGAACAAGATCTTTAGAACTTCAGAATCTATTTTTCCCGGAAGCTCCAATCATTTACCTTCTGTATTATCTTCGTCTCTTGACATCCTCAATTTTAACTCTTCTTTGCTTTGAATGCCCAATATGAAACCCTTGCTAGTTTTTGTTCCACTGGAAGCCCCCCTGTTTCGTCCCTCTGGCTAGATAGAGAAGACAAAACTTTCTCCTATTTTACGGTCGTGACGACAACTCAAGGCTTTGCCCTCTACATGTTCCGAGTTTGCACTTTCCCTCTGCTTTGCAGCAAAGGAATCACTATGTATGAAGGCCTTCAAAACTCACCATTTCTTCTCTTCTCTATGCGCCAAAACAAGAACCTTTGGAACGCATCCCCGTCTCCTCTTCACTCGCGCAACAACAGTGGCTAATATGGGATTGTAGCTCACCAAAACCTTTGAAACTCCAACTGTTGCAATAAGAACTCGCTGCACAACAGTGACGGGATAGCACAACACAAAGGCCTCAGAACTCCCTTCTTCCTCTGCTCCCGTGCTCAAAGCCGAAGCGGACTCCCGTCTCCTTCCCGTCGCTTAATCCCGCACACAACTACAAAGTTGTTTGAACCTCTACTTCCTATCACAATCATTCCCGCGCGAAGAACCTTACCCTCCTTGTGTCTAAAACCTCACCAGAGTTGACTTCCTTTCAGATTCTGTTGCACGTTGCCTTTTCTTTGCATCGCCTCGCACAATGTCGCCCCTCCATGTTCGAATTGGTAAGCCGTAATTTACACATAGCAGCTGGATTTTTGGCTTTGATACCATAAGAAATTTTTGGATGGAATCAATTCTTTTCCATTCAAGGGTTGGGCTTCTATAGAGCCATACAAAACCTTTTACAAATAATCCTAGACTTCTTCTATAATTTCTATTTTTAATTAGACCCCTCAAAAATAAACTACAAATCTCAACACATACCACTCAAATTTATAACATCATATAAAAAAAATATCACTGTCACTACGTTTTTAAAAGTGAAATGCACTTTTTCATGCATAGTTTATGACACCAGGTGTTGTAAGTGTAAAAATATCGAACTTTGGGTGTGTGATATATAAATACATAAGAATTGTGTGGTATGTATGTAACTTTCCCAATTTCTTATTGGTGACTAATATTTTATTTGATTCTAATAGGGTCTGCCTCGAGGTAGGGGGCTGTTACTGCTTGCTGAAATGAGCTCAGCCGGTAACCTCGCCACTGGTGATTACACATCTGCTGCCGTCAAAATTGCTGATCAGCATTCAGATTTTGTGATCGGATTCATATCAGTTAAGCCAGCATCATGGCAATATCAACCTGTAAATCCAGCTTTTATTCATGCAACACCAGGAGTTCAAATGGCTTCTGGAGGAGATTCACTGGGCCAACAATATAATACTCCCTACTCTGTAAGTTATATATATTTTTTGTTTAATTGGTTTGAAGGAAATTTTTTGCATTGTATACTTTATTATTTTGTATGCGTTTAGATATAAAATTAGTCAGATATTATTGCTTTTATTTATCAAAGAGCTCCACTCAAAGATAATAACCTAACTCTAGACACTATACTAGCATATGATTTTATTGCTTTTGTTGAGATTACCGTTTATTATAGAAGATGAAGATGATGGTATATTTGCAACTCCTAAAACCGAGTTCATAAATATTATTTTTCTCTTTTTTACATTTTTTCGCAACATTCAACGTTACTGACAAAGAAAAATAATGTAAGTTTTCGTTAAGATTAATGTCACTTTCTTCGCATATATTCTGATATATATATATATATTGCGTGTGTGTGTGTGTGTGTGGGTGCGAGTGTGTTTGTCTGTGAGTGTTTCATATTTAGTGGTTAGCAAGCAATAATTAGGGAAATAAAATTTAGATTTTGGCATATGACTGTTAGTTACCTACCCTATAATTTGTGGATAAAATTGTTATTTTGTGGAACCTGATTGTGTTAATCAATTGTCATCTTAAAACTCTATTTCCAACTATCAAAGTTGGTACCTAACACCTTAGTGTTGTACCGGCGCCGGTTCAGTAGGCCCCGGAAGACGGTGGCGCGATGCCCAATCTAGTTTCAGAACCCTAGAGCATGACATTGTAGTGCTAAAAAATTGGCACCACCATCACGGTTACAACACCACCATCATGGCACCCCGGCCCCAGTAATTGACTTTGAAAAGTTTTTTATTTACATTTTGTTTTTGTTAATTGGAAGTGGTTGATTTTGATTTTCTCTTGTGCAAAGGAGAGAAGAGGTGTCCTAGAGTTTTCAAAGTGTAGAGAGACTTGAGTGTGGTGTAATTTGTACGATTTTCCTCATTTTCATCGGATAGCTTGGTGTGGTGTGGCTCTGTAATTTGTTTTGCCTTATGAGGTTTTTTCACGTTAAATCTCTAGTCAATGTTACAGGTGGACGTGCCCCCTTATATGAAATCTTTTTCTCTACTTAGCACCGGTTCAATAGCACTTGAAAGACAGCGCCGCCACACCCAAGCTAGTCTCAAAAACCGAGAGTATGATTTGTGGCTCTCGGAAGTTGGCACCACCATCATGGAACCTGGGTCCCAGTAATTGACTTTGGAAAGATTTTCATTTAAATTTTGGTTTTGTCGATTGCGAGTGTTTTATTTGATTTTTTCTTGTGCAAAGGAGATGAAAAAAAGTGTCTTGGAGTTTTCAAAGTGTAGAGCGACTGAGTGGTGTAATTTTTACGATTCTCTTCATTTTCTTCATAGTGAATATTTTGGTGTGGTGTGACTCCATAGTTTTTTTGCATTCTCTGATTTTTTCACTTTAAATTTTAATCCAGGTTTTGCTTCGGAAATCTTGAATCGATTTCCGCAATTCACATCTCTCACTACAAAAATAGCCTCATTTAGTAGTGATAAGATCATTCTTTAATAACATTTCATCTCAAGACTTGGTTTTTCCCCAAATATGTACTTTTATTCTTCATATAGTGTGCACATTTTGCTGTTTGCAGACGGAACATATTAAAAAAAATGATGATGTTTTCTCATTGCGTTGTTTGGTTGCTTTGGCCGGTCTCGAAAAGTTGTAGGCTGAATCCAATTTTAAACCATCGCCATGTTTTGGATTCAGCCGAAACTTCAAAAGTATATGGTTTTGAACATCAGATGAAAGCAAATAGGTTTGTCTATTATGCACATGTACTTGACTCGTCTCTGTTGTGTTCCAGGTAATCAAAGAAAGAGGCAGTGATATCATAATTGTAGGGCGGGGGATAATAAAAGCTGCGAACCCGGCGGAGGCAGCTAAAGGTTATCGAATTCAGGGATGGAATGCCTATAAGGCAAGTTGCTCTTAGAACTTCCAAAATTTCCTTTTCCTTTTCTCTGTTTTTTTAAATTTTGACAAATGAAGTTTTGCAGTCGCGGTTATGTTGCTCCTTTTTATCTTCAATCATAATTTCTATGGATGTTGATATTATTCAACTGAAAATTCTTAATTCCGTGTTGCTAGAGCAACCACAATTGAATGTACACCTTATAATTTGTTTACTGTTGATGTTGGAATTAGCTTGGAAATTTTAACTTTTAAAGAATTTTGATAGATTATTGATGTGTTTTCAACTAATTTTTTCATGTAGCACGAATCTTGATGAACTATTTTTTTGAGCAATAACCATTCCGAATAAGTTCAAGATTATTGAGAGCATTTATTTCAGCAATAACCATTCCGAATAAGTTCAAATTGACTATCTCGATAAAATGAATGTGATGATGTCAAAGGGGTCAATTCGGGTCCAATTAAGCTCAGGTCAAGCCATTGAAGCACATTTAAAGGCTTTGGATCATCAATTGAATGATCAAATGAATTCTGCATTTGACTTATTTATAGTTAAATCAAGCGTCGCAATAAGAGGAATCTAACGAGCTCAAGATCACTTAATTTTGAGGTCATTATGTCACTTGAATCATTAGAAAATTTTTATGATCAAAGGAGATCAATGAGCTGTCACATTAGGTGGCTCTTAAAGTTATTCGACAAAACATAAAAAGCTCCTTTCTCAGAGGCTATAAATAGTCTCTCTCTCTCTTCACTTGGAGTAGGGAGGGAAGAGGAATTTTGGATCCTGTTTTGGACAGAATATTTGATGATAATTTTCGCCCTCTGTAGTTGCTGATCATCATCTACCTACGTAGACCATTGCCGACCAACTCGTAGTTCCCGACATTCTGTCACCGGTAGCCCATACTTGTAAATGCCGTATTCTTTCAGAATATGATAAATGTTTCTAACATCTATATTTTTTTATATGATGTATATCGACAAGCGTTGTATTTGTATATTGACAAGTGCTATATCTGGTTAAAATAATAATTCCGCTCTCCCAGTTGTGAGAAAATGATGTACATTTGTACTTACACATTGTGCATTATTGTGCCTGGATAAGACCTTGTGGTTATTTTTTTCCAGCTTTTTCCACGTAAAAAATATTGGCGGGTTTTCCTGCTACCTTTCTATTTGCTGCATGTCATAGATCTTCATGCGAAGCTAAGACATTAAATTATCACTCGACCGTCGTAAATTTTTTTGTGCACAATAATTATTTTAATCAAAATATGAATATGAGAATAAGAAGAGATAACCGACAACTACATTGATTTTAGCAATGCCTTGCATTGATAACCCCATCAAGCATCCCCAGTCTGGTTGTTCTCCTGCTCTCTAAGGAAGTCAAAACCCTTTCTCGCTCCTTGATTTGCCCTAGTCGTGTTCAAACTCTCATGCTCTCCCCTCTCTTAATTATGGCAGAAATTTGGGAGGGTATTTTTGGAGAACTTTGCACTTTTATTGTTGATCTTCGCATGGGCAATTCAATTCAGACAAATTAATATCTGTTAATATAAACTTGTAAATTATTTTTTCTATTTTCTTGGCAAGCAACTTAGGATATATCTATTGAGAAAAATAGTTGATCACGATTATTCTATAAGTACATATATGTATAAATATTTATAAGCATACGTGCATGCACACACGTATATTGGTAATCTGATGCTTGTTGCCTCTAGTCTTATTAGTCCTGTAGGGGTGCAAATGAGCTGAGTTGAGCTCGAGTCATGCCTAACTTGAGCTCAGTTTATCTGTCAAAATGCGTGCTTGAGCTTGAGATAGAGCTCGACTTCAACGGCAATTACAAACTAGCGAGCTAGCTTGTGTGCTCGACTTGAAAATCAAATTATCATGGAAACTCACTATAAAATCATTATGAATGTAGAAGAAGTGTCACAGTTGCTCGCCAAAAAATTCATCTACAAGACTATCAAAGTTGAGGTTGCTTGAGCGGAGGAGTTGAGCCTAGACAAGCTTGAACTTGAGCTCCTTTAATAAGCGAGCTTGAGCTTGAGCTTGTGGCTCAATAAGCTCGACTTACGAGCTCATTAACAAATAGAGTTCAAGTTGACACGCGAGCCAACTCGACTCACTTACATCTCTATGACTATGAGCTTGATTCAGCCAAATAACATACTTAATTGTGATAAATTTCTGATGTCTGGCACTTTGTGAAGAATTAGGAGCATTGGACTTTTAAAGAGAGAGGTTGAAAACAAATTTATCTCAACTCTAAAGCTTCTTGCTTGTTGGACATTTAAACACTGGGCTCAATTTGGATTAACTGGATGGATGGTGATTCTGCTTGTTTACTTATATGATTCTTAGCTTTAGAACTACTAAGAAATCCATATCGTTGTTTCACATGGCCCATAATGTACATATCTAAAATTACACACATACCACACAATTATCATGTATTTACATATCTAAAACTTTAAAGTTGGATATTTACGTTGATGACTCTATAAAATTCTGCATGAAAATGTATATTTCATTTTTAGAAAGTTAGTAATAGTGGTGTTTTGATGTGATGTTAAAGATTAGAGTGATATGCATTGCAAATATGAAAGTTTAGGTGTTGAATATGTAAAAAATAAGAATTGTATGGTATGTTTGCAAATGCCCGCTAAAAAAATGCTTGATTTCCACAACATTTTTTCCAAATGCAATATAAGTGAACTAGCCTAATTGCTCCCTAATAGAGTAACAAAATGACGATGCCCCTCACCTTAAGAGAATAGTTAGGATCTTTTTGGGGCAGCTGCATCTTATTACTAATCTGCTACGCAACAACTGCCACTGGAAGATGCTGCGTAGAAGCTGCTGCGGATAAGTTGGAGCGGGATCGAGAGAGATGAGTAACGCGAGAAGAGGGGCCGCGGGATAAATATGCCCACCGTCGAGAGAGGAGAAACGTGGTCCATGGGGTTGAATCCGCGGCCCCGTTTTAATGAAGTTTTTAAAATACGCTGCCACGACGTGATAACCCAACGCACAAGATAGTATTTTCGGGCCGCGCCGCCTGACAAATGCGCCAAATGGACCCTAAATGTCAATATCATTGAGGACTTCACAGAGCTAGTGATTAGATGAATCACACAATAATTCAAAAACTTAGGGCAAAAATTAAATTTGTATATATATATATATATGTATGTATATA